GGCACCAAAGATGCTCTTTGACTTGGTCACCAAAAGCCGATCAATATCCCTCTCTGCCTGCATAGCCCAGGCATATTTCTTTGTCTCCTTTGCTAGCTCAGAGCTCCTCTTACTCTCGGCCATGTCCTATGACCGATACGTTGCCATCTGTCACCCCCTACATTACACACAAATGATGTCTTGGAGAGTCTGTGCTCTTATGGCTGCTGCAGTTTGGGTTATTGGCTGTCTTTACTCTTTAATGCATACCCTCTTTTTGCTCAGGTTGTCCTTTTGTGGTCCTAATATAATTTACAACTTCCTTTGTGACCTTCCAAACTTGTTCCATATTGCGTGCATAGACCCCTTCATAAACATGTTGGTCGAACTCATAGTAGGTGGTGGTTTTGGATTAGGAGCCTTTGTTTGTACGTTGCTTCCATATGTCCGTATTTTCACTGCCATTCACAAAATGTGTGACAAAACTGGGAAGCTAAAAGCTTTTTCAACCTGCACATCACACCTTGCTGTGGTCTTCATCTTCTATGTCTCATTAATTGTTATCTATATGGTTCCCACCTCTAGTAATATGCTTATTGTAAACAAATTGCTTTCAGTCACATCTACACTCATTAACCCCTTGCTGAATCCTCTGATCTACAGCCTGAGAAACAAAGATCTTCACACGGCATTCCTGAGGACTTTTAATTGCCAAAAAATAAACCAAGAATGATATTTAGCTAATTCAAATACATTTCTTAAACTGTTATATATTTATTTGTGAGCATAGCTACATAGTGACCTAGTTGTTAAGGTTTAATAAATACACAGGTCCATCCAGTGCAACCTCTATATGTTTGTATATTTGTCTGTGTAGTGTGCACAAGAATTTCCATACCTCTGTATATTGTAGACATGTGTGATTTATTTAGTTCCAAATTAAAATTTGTACACATTTTCCAAAATTCGGATGCATCTGAATTTCTGAATGAAAAAATAATGAATCTGAATTTTCCAATCAGTTGATCAATTTGTGCATGGAAATCATATCCCCTCTTAAACGTCTCTTCTCCAGAGGGAATAAGTTCAATTTCTGTCATCTTTCCTTATAGCCCTGGTCCTCCAGCCCCCTTATTCATTCTGTTGCCCTTCTCTGCGGTCTCTCAAGTTCAAGGATGTCCTTTCTGTGGAGAGGTCCCAAAACTGAACTGGATACTTAAGAAGAGGCCAGACCATTGTTTTATATAGTGGTAGAATTATAGATTCACCCTTTCTATGCATGATAGTATTCCACTGGCTTTGTTAGCAGCAGCTTGGCATTCCATGCTATTGCTAAGTCTGTGGACTCCCAAATATTTTTCCATCTCCGGGTTAATCCAGAGGAGTTCCCCTTAATGAGTAGCTTGCATGTGTATTCTTACTTCCCAAATGCATAATTTTAAATTTTTCAATATTAAACTTCAATTGCCATGTGACTGCCCCCCCTCCCATTTTGTTATGGCCTTTCTCTAGTGCTGCTTTGTTTTGTAATTAGTTTATTACCCTGAATAAATTGGTATCATCAGCAAACACTGAAACTGATCTATTTAAACCGTCCTCAATAAGACAGAGAGCTGGGCACACCACTAACAACCCCAGACCATTCAGAAAATGAGCCATTTGTTATCTAGGTTGCTACTCACTTCTTCATAGAACGTTAATAGATTGATCTGACTAGAACGGTCTTTCATAAATCCCTTTTGGTTGTTGCTTATAATACTTTTTTTGCTGGCAAATTCCTGAAAATAATGCTTTACCATTCCCTCAAATAATTTGCATAAGATTGATGTGAGGCTAACTGGTCTGTAGTTTCCTGGAATTAATCTCGACCCTTTTTGAATATTGATACAACATTTGCCTTATGCCAATCAGTTGGTGGCTTCCAGTCAGTAAGCTGTCCTGCTACAACTTAGGAACAATTGCCCTGCTATAACTTGGGGCCAATGGTCTTGTCATAGCTTGGTTAAGCTCTCTTAGTACCCATGGGTGTAAATTATCTGGTTCTGGAGATGTATTCACATTAATTGTATCTAATCTTCTTTTGACCAGAATCATATGATTTAAAATAAATCTTTCTAGGATTTCAGCAACAAGGTTTCTCTACTGAAAAGCAATATGTTGGCTAGTTTATCATTCTTTGTGTGGTCATTTTTTTTTTTTTTTTAGATATACCTTTTTAGACAGAGAACATTTATTAATTATTATTATAGTTGATTTAACTGACTTTTCTAACAGTTTTTCCTGACATTTTTTTTAAATCAGGTTTTGGCACAATTTTATAGTAAACATTTTCAGGCTATTTAAAGTAGTAGTAGAGTCATGTTGCCTATCAATCAATGCAAAGAGTTTGAAGTTTATGTGACATAATTTTTTTGGCCATTTTCCTTTTAATAATATAAGTTAAAAAAAGATAGCACAAAAGAAAGTTTGGAAATTAAGGATAAAAAGAATCAATTAAAAAAATCTCCAGCTGATATATGGATTGTTGATATAGTATAAGTACGACGTATGGATCTCCTCGCGGCATATTAAAGTGTGAGCATCTTTTAGGACTTCTATTCCGCTGTCGTACTTATTATCTTATCAATGTTTGAGAATTTAAAAATCTGCTGGTGTCCCAGGTGTCTTGCCGATTTGTAGAGCCACTTGTCCCAATATTTCATCCCCTCCTCTCTCCCCGTGGAAAAGGTTATGGTTGTCATTCCTTTCCAAAATTATAATTTATACATCTATCATATAAAATCTGAATTCAGCTCACCTCCACTTCTGATGAAGCAGATCTCAATGGTCTGACATGCTCGTAGATTGAGCCCCGACTCTATCAAGCACATTAATGTAACATACTGATATCCTTGCAGGGGTTGTATGTATTGGTGGGGTTATGAGTGAATAAGGTTGTATTAGTTATTTCTTTGATTTGCAAATGTTAAGTGAGTCCAGCTTGGTTTAAAGATTTTGTAATCAGATTTATACTTTGTACAATAAAATGTACATGTTTTACATATAATAATTCTTGTGTAATTATTGTACCACCTTAAGAGTCCGAGTCCACTGACAGAGCAATTTAATATACTTTAACTTTGGGGATGTTGTACATATTACTTTCTTATTCCAATCCCTAATTCTTGACAGAGATCTGACTTTACTCTAGAGTAACCTTTTCAGGTTATTGACACAGAAGCCGAAGAAACTAGCATTTTCAGAGGCCTACGTATTTCTCTCAGTGCTAGCTTCATTTATCCCTTTAAGTGACGCAAAACTCCGGAGTTAAATCTTAATGCATTCAAGTCCCTGAACTATGAACAACAATGTATCGTATTTGTGTATCACTCGGCTGTGGATCCTCCAATCATCTCTGAATTGGTGCTGACACTGTCCTTCCTTCTGGAGGGGGGCTACATTTGTTCCCCATGGTCCCTGTGTGTGTTGTAAAGAAGTCACCGCTCCAAGCTCACTCCCGGGATGGACTACAATCTCAATACAAATAGGTAAACTAAACATGAGGTTATAGTCCATCCCATGGGAAGGGGTAGCTTGGAGAGGTGACTACTTTACAACACACACAGGGACCATGGGGAACACAAGTAGCCCCCCTCCAGAAGGAAGGACAGTGTCAGCACCAATTCAGAGATGATTGGAGGATCTACAGCCGAGTGATACACAAATAAGATACATTGTCGTTCAGAGTTAAGATACTTGTATGCATTAGGATTTACCTTCTGAGTTTAGTGTCACTCTAAATTAAAGACCAGCACAAGGCAATCGGTTTTAGTGATGTAATAAATCAGTGGTATCATCTGTTTGTGAATTTGTTGGAAGGATTTGCTCTCACTCTGACACATAGAGGTTGGTTTACTAAAGGAAATTTTTCTTTATGTTCCCTTTAGGCACTCGATCATGGGCAGATGAATTTTGAAAATATAGGGAATTCCATTTCAAAATGTTGCATGTTTCAGATAAATAAAGCTTCACCAGGAAAAGCAAAAAGATATTCTTCTGTAGTACATCTACCCCATCATTTTCTCCAGGGACACACTGCATGTGCCACATATCACCACAATGCCAGTAACAGAGTGGGTATCTGTTTTGTCTTGAAGCTGAACCACATTAAGGGCATCAGTTCAAAAATTCTTGTAAAGGTGTTGTGTTTTTAAGCTTCTACTTGAAGGCAATCTCCATCCAACTCTGCTTTCCATCCACAATGTAACATGAAGCTGAATAACACTGTAACCTGCATATTTCTAGGACTAAATACTTCCACCAGAAATCCTTTGGTTGAGGACCTGATATATGACCACATGTAAGAATAACTGGTTCACCCATTTTACCCCAAATGGCGGCATTCTCAAAAATATAGTCACTTTTCATAGGATTATTCACTCTCCCTTCAGGCAAACATTCAGCAAACTTATTTTTTATTTTATTTTAAGTAAAGCTTTCACAAGAAGAAATCATGCATTCATTATAAACCTTTGTGCAATACAAAATTGCTAAATAAAGAGATAATAAATAAAACAATGTTTTAGTTTTTAAAAGTAGCCAAAACTTCTGTTAGCCACAATATAGAACATTAGAAAATATAAAAACTTATTTTTTGTAGATCTGTATTCATATTTCAAAATGTAAAAGACTGTAAATTAGTTTGATACAAAATAATTGGCTCTCAAGGGGCATGTGTGTGTTTTTTGTTAACTAAAGGTCCCAAGACCATTGCTAAGGGCTTCGGCTCTTCCAGCAGAGGAGAATGCCCTTTGGGTCGGTTAAGATTATATATCTGTACATTTCAGGAGCTAAAGAGCATTTCCTGAGGAATTATGTGGATATACTCCACACATTTTTCATTTAATGTTTCTTAAGACTATCTTTTTGTTTTTATTCTTTGTATAATAAACACGCAGAGGCTTTGTATTACGAATAACATGAAGAACCTCACAATGATTACTGATTTTATTCTTGTGGGTCTATCAAACCATCCATCAACCATGAATGGACTTTTTGTGCTCTTTCTTCTAACCTATTTAATCACTGTGACTGTAAACCTCCTTATTATTGTCTTGGTCCTTTTTGACTATCATCTGCACAACCCAATGTATTTTTTTCTTGCCAACTTAGCTCTTATAGATGTGTCTTTCGTGTCAGTCACGGCACCAAAGATGCTCTTTGATTTGGTCTCCAAAAGCCAATCAATATCTCTCTCTGCCTGCATAGCCCAAGTATTTTTCTTTGTCTTCTCTGTCAGCTCAGAGCTCCTCTTGCTCTCGGCCATGTCCTATGACCGTTACGTTGCCATCTGTCACCCACTACATTACACACAAATGATGTCTTGCAGAGTCTGTGCTCATATGGCTGCTGCAGTTTTTGTGATTAGCTGTCTTTACTCTTTAATGCATACCCTCTTTTTGCTCAGGTTGTCCTTTTGTGGTCCTAATATAATTTACAATTTCTTTTGTGACCTTCCACACTTGTTCCAGATCACATGCATAGACCCCTTCATAAACATGTTGGTCGAACGCATAGGAGGTGGTGGTTATGGATTTGGAGCCTTTGTTTGTACTGTGTTTCCATATGTCCGTATTTTCATTACCATTCACAAAATTTGTAACATAACTGGGAAGGTAAAAGCTTTTTCAACCTGCACATCACACCTTGCTGTGGTCTTCATCTTCTATGTCTCATTAATTGTTATCTATATGGTTCCCACCTCTAGTAATATGCTTATTGTAAACAAATTACTTTCAGTCACATCTGCCCTCATCAACCCCTTGCTGAATCCTCTGATATACAGCCTGAGAAACAAAGATCTTCACGCGGCATTCCTGAGGACTTTTAATTGGCAAAAAATAAACCAAGAATGATATTTAGCTCATTAAATACATTTCCTAAACTGTTATGTATTTATTTGTGAGCATAGCTACATGGTTACCTAGTTGTTAAGGCTGAATAAATACACAGGTCCATCCAGTGCAACCTCTATATGTTTGTATATTTGTCTGTGTAGTGTGCACATGAATTTCCAGACCTCTGTATATTGTAGACATGTGCGATTCCTTTCATTCCAAATTGCAATTCGTACAAATTTTCCAAAATTCAGATGCATCCCAAAATCCGAATGAAAAAATAAGGAATCCGAATTTTCCAATCAGTTGATCAATTTGTACATGGAAATCATGTCCCCTCTTAAACGCCACTTCTCCAGAGGGAATAAGATCAATGTCTTTCATCTTTCCTCATAGCCCAGGTCCTTCAGCCCCCTTATTAATTTTGTTGCCCTTCCTTGCAGTCTCTCAAGTTCAATGACGTCCTTTCTGTGGATCGGTGCCCAAAACTGAACCAGATGCTCAAGATAAGGCCAGACCCGTGTTTTCTATAGTGGTAGAATGATGGATTCATCTCTAGATTAGATATCCTGCTAGTGGATGGTCATCCTCCCATATGTGAGCCCCTGCACCTGCCCTTACGTGTGTCTGTTCTCTTGTGTGGCTGCTTGTTCCAAAACCCGGAGCTCTCCTGCACCAGTGCCCCGGTTCCCAGACGGTGACAGTGGTATTAGTTCTTTCTTTGACTTGCAAATGTTACGTGAGTCCAGCTTGGTTTTAAGATTTTGTAATCAGGTTTATACTTTGTACAATAAAATATATATGTTTTACATATAATAATTCTTGTGTAATTATTGTACCACCTTAAGAGTCTGAGTCCACTGACAGAGCAATTATTGATATACTTTAATTTTGGGGATGTTGTACAGATCTCTTTGTTATTCCAATCCCTATTTATTGACAGAGATCTGACTTTACTCTAGTTACCTTTTCAGGTTATTGACACAGAAGCCAAGAAACTAGCATTTTCAGAGGCCTACGTATTTGTCTTAGTGACTTAATTTATCCCTTTAAGTGACGCTAAACTCAGAAGTTAAATCTTAAAAATGTATTCAAATATCTTAACCATGAACAACAAAGTATCTTATTTGTGTATCACTCGGCTGTAGATCCTCCAATCATCTCTGAATTGGTGCTGACACTGTCCTTCCTTCTAGAGAGGTGCTACGTCTGTTCCCCATGGTCCCTGTGTGTGTTGATAAGTAGTCACCGCTCCAAGTTCGCTCCCAGAATGGACAACAATCTCAATACAAATTAGTAAACTGAACGTGAGTTAGTTGTCCATCGGGGGAGCGAGCTTGGAGCTGTGACTACTTTACAACACACACAGGGACCATGGGGAACAGAAGTAGCCCCCCTCCAGGAGGAAGGACAGTGTCAGCACCAACTCAGAGATGATTGGAGGATCTACAGCCGAGTGATACACAAATAAGATACATTGTTGTTCATAGTTCAGGGACTTGGAGGGATTGTAACGCTTTAACTCCGGAGTTTAGTGTCACTTTAAATTAAAGACCAGCACAAGGCAATCGGTTTCAATCGGTAATAAATCAGTGGTATTCTCTGTCAGATTTTAACTAATGTTTGTGAATTTGTTGGAAGGATTTGCTCTCACTCTGACACATCGAGGTTGGTTTACTAAAGGAACGCATTTTTCTTTAGGTTCACTTTGAGCACCCGATCATGGGCAGATGAATTTACAAAATATAGGGAATTCCATTTCGAAATGTTGCATGTTTGAAATAAATAAAGCTTCACAAGGAAAAGCAAAAATATATTCTCCTATGGTACATCTAGCCCACTTTTTTCTCCAGGGACACACTGCGTGTGCCACATATCACCACAGTGCCGGTAACAGAGTGGGTATCTGTTTTGTCTTGAAGCTGAACCACATTAAGGGCCTCAGTTCAAAAAGTCTTGTAAAGGAGTTTCGTTTATAAGCTTCTATTTGAAGGCATCTCCATCCAACTCTGCTCTCCATCCGCAATGTAACATGAAGCTGAATAACATGGTAACCTGCATATTTCTAGGACTCTGGTGACAACATAATTCCACCAGAAATCCTTTGGTTGAGGACCTCATACATGGCTACATGTAAGAATAACTGGTTCGCCCATTTTACCCCAAATGGCGGCATTCTCAAAAATACATAAGATTTTTGCTTCTCCCTTCAGACAAACATTCAGCAAACTTAATTTTTTATTATTTTAAGTAAAGCTTTCACAAGAAAAAAATCATGCGTTCATTATAAACCTTTGTGCAAGATAAAATTGCTAAATAATGAGATAGTAAATAAAGCAATGTTTTCATTTTTAAAAGTGGCCAAAACTTCTGTTAGCTAAAATATAAAACATTATAATATATAAAAACTTATTTTCAGTATATCTGTATTCATATTTTCAAAATGTAAAAGACTGTAAATGTGTTTGATGCAAAATAAGTGGCTCTCAGGTGGCATGCGTATATTTTTAACTAAAAGTCCCAAGACTATTCCTAATGGCTTCTGCTCTTCCAGCAGAAGGGAATGCCCTCTTGGTTTGTTAATATTATATATCTGTACATTTCAGGAGCTGAAGAGCATTTACTGAGGAATTATGTGGATACACTCCGCAAATTATCATTTAATGTTTCTTAAGACTATTTGTTGTTTTTATTTTTTTTTGTTAAATAAATTGACAGATGCTTTGTATTATGAATAACATGAAGAACCTCACCAAGATTACTGCTCTTATTCTTGTGGGTCTATCAAACCATCCACCAACCATGAATGGACTTTTTGTGCTCTTTCTTCTAACCTATTTAGTCACTGTGACTGTAAACCTCCTTATTGTTGTCTTGGTCCTTTCTGACTATCATCTGCACAACCCAATGTACTTTTTTCTTGCCAACTTAGCTCTCATAGATGTGTCTTTCTTGTCAGTCACGGCACCAAAGATGCTCTTTAACTTGGTCACCAAAAGCCAATCAATATCCCTCTCTGCCTGCATAGCCCAAGTATATTTCTTTGTCTTCTTTGGCAGCTCAGAGCTCTTCTTACTCTCGGCTATGTCCTATGACCGTTACGTTGCCATCTGTCACCCCCTACATTACACACAAATGATGTCTTGGAGAGCGTGTGCTCATATGGCTGCTGCAGTTTGGGTGATTGGCTGTCTTAATTCTTTAATGCATACCCTCTTTTTGCTCAGGTTGTCCTTTTGTGGTCCAAACATCATTTACAACTTCTTTTGTGACCTTCCAAACTTTTTCCATATTGCGTGCATAGACCCCTTCATAAACATGTTGGTTGAATTCATAGGAGGGGGTGGTTTTGGCTCAGGAGCCTTTGCTTGTACGTTGCTTCCATATGTCCGTATTTTCACTGCCATTCACAAAATGTCTAACATAACTGGGAAGCTAAAAGCTTTTTCAACCTGCACATCACACCTTGCTGTGGTCTTCATCTTCTATGGGTCCTTGTTTGCTATGTATATGGTTCCCACCTCCAGCAATATTCCTATTGTAAACACATTGCTTTCAGTTATATCTGCCCTCATCAACCCCTTGCTGAATCCTCTGATCTACAGCCTGAGAAACAAGGATCTTCATGCGGCATTCCTGAGGACTTTTAATTGCCAAATATTAAACCAAGAATGATTTTTAGCTCATTAAAATAAATTTCTTGTACTGGGTTTTTTTTTACAACTTTTGGTTCTGTGATAACTCCATCTGGTAAAAATGTTGGTTCTACATAATTTTAACTTCAGAGCACAGCCTAACACAAAGCAGAATCCTATACAGTACTTTACAATGTGTTCGCTTGTGCATCGTTCTTTGTACAGTCATTTTATTTTTTTGATTTTTAGAAGTTTTTTTTTTATGACTATAGTTGATTTAACTGACTTTTCTAGGTGTTTTTACTCCATATTTTAAATATGACAAAGCTTTTATCGTAAATATTCAATTTTCAACTTGAATATGTTTTCAGTCTATTTAATGCAGTTGTAGAGTCATGTTACCTATCGATCAATACTGAAAGTTTGATGTTCATGTCATACTGTTATTTGGCTTTGTTTGTGTTTCTCACCTCTGGTAATAGGTTTATTGTAAACACATTGCTTTCAGTCACATCTGCCCTCATCAACCCCTTACTCAATCATCTGATCCACAGCCTGAAAAACAGAGATCTTCATGAAGCATTCCTGAGGACTAAAATCATATATCAGACCTTTAATCCGAGCAGAAGCCTGGCAGAACAGGAAAGGGGAGGACGAGTGTGTGCTCCCCCCCCCCCTCCTGCACCATATCAGGCAACATGCCTTCAACATGGGGAGGGTCCTTCCCGGAAAGGCACCTTGTCCCCATGTTGAGGTGGGCAAGGGCCTCTTCACCACAACCCTGGCCCGATGCTTGTGGGGGGTCTGAGGGCAGTGGGGCTTATAGGAATCTGGGTGCCTCCTTTAAGAAAGAGGGCACCCAGATGCCGCCCCCTCTCATTAATGAGTAAGGTGTAGTTGTTACCCCTACTCATTCACCAAATACAGTCAAATTGTAAATAAACACACCACACCTTTATTTGAAAAAAAAAGAAAAAAGTCCATCGATGTAGTCCAAAGGTCAACCATGTCATCCAGAGATGTAGATCTACATCAATCACAATGGACGACGGGGGCCAACTTGCCCGAAAAGGAAACGCCGACTTGAGACCTGCCGCTACGACTGAACCTGGCGAACACCAGACGCAGCATGACAGATCTGCTCCTGAATGTCAACAAAGGGGCAGAGCGAGTCATGTGACTTGTGCCGTCTTTCCCTGAGATCTTGTGAGATTACAGATGAGATTTCCCAGCAAGGCTCTGCCGATGTAACCTTCCCAGGATGCAATGCTTGGGCACAGATTACATCACCAATACCCAAGACGACTGGGAAGTAGATAAACAATAATTGTAAGTAAAAGAAAAATGTTTGTTTAATAAATGTAAGATGAGTTCTTATCAGCATGCAGGGCTACATGCTAAGGTGAGTTTTAGTGTGAGGGGTAAAGGGTTGTTGCAGTGTAAGCCAATGCCACAGTGTAGTTTGGCAACTATGGCACCCAGGACTCTCAGCCAGAGAAGCTGAGAGGGTCCAGAGTGTAAACCATTTTATAAAGGAAGAACCTGGCCTTTCAGATTCTTCCAGGTTTTCAGAATTGTAACTGGGATCTGGAGCTCTGGAGATTTCTTAGAGCTCTGGGTGGGATGAGATCTCCAGTCCTGGGGCCAGGTGTTACCAATGACCAGCTTGGGATGATCAGGGGGCTGAGAGCAGCCTCATTAGCCTAGTGCTCAGGAAGAGTTGTGTGTGTGCAGGAGGCACAAGGCCACAGCAGACTCGGGTGCGTGCTGGACACACGTAGAACAGCCGGGGGAGGCTGGGAGAGGTCGGGAAAGTCGGTGACCCTAGGACCTGTTGGCCACATTGCTGAGAGAGCAGAGTGAGGGCTCAAGAGGGGTGAGCAGTGTGAGTATCACAC